CAGGCCCACGCCACGCCCGGGCTTCCCTCCGACTCATCTGGTCATGGTGAGCAGCTCTACTCACCCAAGGCCAAGCCCATCCTCCCTGCCAGACTGGGCCCATCAGAGGGCACGACTGAGCCCTGGGCCAGCCTCCCTTCCCTGCCCAACGGCTCACCCAGCACGTCCAGCAGGTAGCTGTAGCGGATGCTGCCCCTGGCGTTCTCCACCAGGCAGGTGTACGTGCCGCGGTCCGAGGGCACCACACTCTCCATCACCAGGCTCCAGTGCTGGTGGCGCAGCTGGAGAGAGAGGCAGTGTCGGCGGGCGTGGTGGCTCATGCCTATCCTCCCAGCACTTTGGGAGGCTGAGGCGGGAGGATCGCCTGAGCCTAGCAGGTCGAGGCTGCAGTGACCGTGAGCATGCCACTGCACGCCAGCCTGGGTGACAGAGTGAGACCCCCACTCAAAAAAATGGGGAGCAGCAGGTCCCAGAGACTCACCCGGATGCCTCCTATGCGGCTCTCCCCGTGGAAGTCCTGCCCATCCTTGAGCCAGCGGATGGTGGGCGTGGGGTTGCCCGCAGCCGGACAGCGGAACTTGACGGTGTTCCCGGCGGGCACCGCGTGCAGTTTCTTCTCCATGCGCTGGGGGTGCGTCCAGTAGGGTGCTAGGTGGGCAAGGGCAGTGCCCCAGAGTGACCACCTGCACTCATACAGGGCCCTTCGCTTCAGGGACCAGAGGGGCAGCAGGACACGGATCCTTGAGGGCTCGCACTGACCTTGCTGGGGGTAGACGGGCCCATTCGAGGAGCCCCCATGGGCTTCGGGGTCCTCCTCATCATTACTGGAGGTCCAGGAGTCTGAGCAGGGCCAGAGGGAGGTGTCTGAGGCCCGCGAGGGCAGGCCTCTCCCCGCAGAACTCCCTCCGCCCCCTGCGGGACGCTCTTACCATCTACGGCCAAGGTGAGGTTGTGCAGGACAGCCAGGGAGCCTCGGGCCAGGCAGAGGTAGCGGCCAGCATCCTCGGGCAGGAAGCTGGCGATCTCCAGGCGGCCCCTCCAGCCTCGCACCCGACCGGCAGGTGCCAGGCGACGACCCTCCTTGTACCAGTGGCCCCCGCGCTCAGCCCGCCCACAGCACAGCCGCACTGGCTGCCCCAGGGCCACGGTCAGCACCTGCTCCCGCTGCGGCAGGCCGGGCGCCAGGCAGGGCTCTGTGGGCAGAGGGCAGAGGTCAGCGGGCTCCACAGGCCAACGGAGGCCACCTCCTGCCTCCGGGCACAGGCCGCACGTGCAGGGCGTGAGGACCTCACGACACATGCTGGATGAGCCACCACTCCTCGCCACACACAATCCCATGCGGCAATGCCACACACAGGGCCCGTTCTGCACAGGGGTGCCACACGCAGCGCTCAAGCCACACCTCCAGGGCACTCCACACTCCTGGTACAGACGCCACACAGGCCGCCCGGGCCTCCCAGTCACACACCCAGTGCACAGGACACACGCACGCACGCACAGCCAAGGGGCTTACCGCCAGCCGTGGGGCCAGCTCAGGGCCCAGCCCCCGCGAGGCCAGTCCTCTCTCGCGGCACAAAGACAGCTGGATGCTTGCTGGAGCCAGACGCGCGACTGAGCCTCAGGGCAAGCCCCGTCCCGCTGCCACCCTCACGGGCCTGGGCAAGGACCCTCCCAGCTCTACTCAGCCAGCGTGGGCCCTCCCACCCCTCTGTGCCCACGCTGCCCACCCGGCCACCCTGTCCCGCCTTGGAGGCCGTACCCAGCTCCACCTCCTCGGAGGCCTCGAGGGGCAGGGCCGGAGCCCCAGGTGCGCCCAGCAGGACCCCGAAGAAAGCCAGCAGCAGCCTCATTCCTTCCCGTGGCTCTCGGGGCTCCAGGCTGGACTTCCTAGGACAGGGAGGGAGAGGAGCCTGCGACTCGGCCCTTGGGCTGGCGATGCTCCCTGGCTGGGCAGATGAGGAAGCCGGGCAGGAAGCGGCAACAGGCCCGTCCGAGTCCCCAGCCAGGCCACGCGGGGCAGAGGCTGGAGCCTGCGCCACTCTGGCCAGAGCCCAAAGACCCCCCCGGCACGCGCAGTGGGGCTGGGCCAGGCTTCCTGCCCTCCTGGGTCCCGCCGAGACTCTGGCACGAGTTCACAGGAAGAGCAGTTCCGAGATGCCTGTCTCGGAGGAAGCGGAGAGTGGAGACACAGCTTCTGCTCGTCCTCAGAACACATCGTTTGCTTTGTGCTGAATAAATGAATTTATTGCTGGAAAGCCCCAAAAAAGTGAAATATAATACGAGGCCAAACTTCAGCATCTGGATGTTATCTGATCCGACCCCACTCCTCAGCACCAGTGGCATTCCCAGGGGCTGGGTGCTCACAAGCGCTCTGTGCCAAGCAGAAAGCCTTCCCTCATTCTGAGCCAGAACTGCGTCCCGGGATACCTTTGCTTTTTGTGCCCACGACCCCATTCGAGGTAACCCAGGGTTTCGTAGAGAAGGTAGACTCTGAGTATCTGACAGACCAAGTCAAGTCCTGGTCCTCGCCATCTGCAAGTCCCTGTCTCCCCCCTGGGAGACTGTCCTCACAGGACTGCTCTGAGGATGAAAGAGTTGAACCAACAACCTTCTAGGGACTGGGCACACAGAGTGCTGGAATGTTCTCCTCTCTACCCCTCCCCTCTGACCTATCACCTTGGGTCTGCCCTGGGCCAGTCGCCTCTGGTTCAGGCCTGTTCCCGTCAGGTCTGCACATCCACCCCAGCTAGTCACCCTCTTCCAGATGCTACCAAGGACGTCTCTGTACCCCAAAAGGGAACACTCAGAACTCAAGTTGGGCAGACAGGAAACCAAGGACTCAGGGCCAGGCGCTGTGGCTCAGGCCTGCCATCCCAGCACTTTGGGAGGCCGAGGCGGGAGGACTGCCTGGGCCCAGGGGCTCGAGACCAGCCTAAGCAACACGGAGAGACCTTGTCTCTATCGTAAATGAAAAAATTAGCCAGGCACGGCGGCGCACGCCTGTGGTTTCAGCTACTTGGAAGGCTGGGGCGGGAGGATCGCCTGGGCCCAGCAGGTCGAGGCAGCGGCGGTTGTGAGTGCGCCACTGCGCTCCAGCCTGGGCAGCAGAGTGAGACTGACTCAAAGACAAGGGACTGGGCTCGGCCGCGCAAGGGCATAGGGTGACAGCGTCATCCCAAGGCCTGCTGGCGTGACCCGGGGCTGGGCCCCGCCGGGCGGCACCGGTGGCTCTGGGTCTCCCTGCCCAGGAAGCTCGCCACACCCTCTGCCCACGGCCGCGCCTCCACTTCCCGGCCAGCGGCCGCCCGGCACCTACCCCG